TTAAAATTTTTTTAGGAAACTGTCCATTGCCTGAAGAGGCCCACCCTCTTAAAAAAGAAGAAGAAGAATTTGCACCCCCGGATTTCCATGTTTTCAAAATGGGTAAAGGCACCAGTTTCTTTTTTTCAATGCACCATGGCCTAAAAGAATTTCCAGTTAGGGCGGCCGTTTCCCCAAGTTAAATAGGAGTTTAAGGAGCCAAACTTTTTTAAACCCTTTGGGTGGTTGAAAAATTAAAAAGCCAAAAATTTTGCCCCCACAGGACTGAAAATGCCCAAAAACAAAGTGGCTCTGCAGTTGGGTTAGGGAAAAAGGTTTCTAGATGGTTCATAGGAGCATCTGAGTAGGAATCCAAAAAAACAAATGTTTTTTTTTAGTGAGCCTTTTTATAACCATAAAAGAAAAAACCCAAGGGGCCGCCGCCGCGGCACATAGGCATATCCCCCCCCATCGGCTCCCGGCACCCGGGTTCTAGTCCCGTGTCAGGGCCCCGGATTCTGTCCCGGTTGCCCCTCTTCCAGGCCAGCTCTCTGCTGTGGCCAGGGAGTGCAGTGGAGGATGGCCCAGGTGCTTGGGCCCTGCACCCCATGGGAGACCAGGAAAAGCACCTGGCTCCTGGCTCCTGCCATCGGATCAGCGCGGTGCGCCGGCCGCAGCACACCGGCTGCGGCGGCCATTGGAGGGTGAACCAACGGCAAAAGGAAGACCTTTCTCTCTGTCTCTCTCTCTCACTATCCACTCTGCCTGTCAAAAAAAAAAAAATAATAATAAAATAAAATAAAAATAATAAAAAAAAAGAAAATATAACACCTGTTACTAGTGATTATCTCTAAGGTTCATACCACAAGAGTTTTCCTTTTATGTTTATAGGTAATTTGTACAAGCATTCATTTTTTTTGAAAACATGTAAATTTTATCAAAAAAATAAAGTACACTTTAATGAAATGATAAAATTACCTCAATGATTCTTGGTTAAATTTTCAAGAGCCCACATTTTTGCACTTACAACTCTAGTATTTATGTTGGAAAAAAAAGAAAGCCCTCCCAAAATGTGACACTTCTTTGCTAAAGTTTGCTGACTTTACCAATGAGCCGGAAAAACTCTAGCACTGCACTGTTGAATGTGGAGGCCCTAATTAGAACTAAATAAAATTTAAAATGGAGTTATGCGGTTATACTAGCCATCGTTGGAACACTGGTTCCTGTTCTAGACAGCACACACAGAGAGCACTCCCTGCATTGCAGGAGGTTCCCTGGACAGCACCACTCCAAGTTCACTGAGATTGTCTGTCAAGGTGATTATACTTCTGCTACAACTTAGCAGAATCGATGGGTGTTTATGGAAAATGGATTATAGGGGGCTACTGTACTCTTTGATCCTGAAAAAGTTCTATTGTTTTAGAACAAGTTTTTAAAAATTTTGTCCCTACAGTGTCCCTCACTCAGAGCTACTGGAAAGGAAAAAGCCTGTGTCCTTGGTTCATGATGGTGCCTGACACTTTCTGGTGTGATTTATACTACCAAATTATTTTTCCTCATTGGAGTTATTATTCAAGTCAGGTGACATTCTCTTTTTTTTTATTTGAAAGGCAGAGTTACAGAGAGGAGGGCAGACAGAAGAGAGATCTTCCATCCACTCATTCACTCCCCAACTAGCCACAACAGCCAGGGTTGGGCCAGGACAAAGCCAGGAGCCAGGAGTTTTATTCCTGTCTCCCATGTGGGTGCACAGGCCCAAGTACTTGTGCCATCCGCTGCTGCTTCCCCAAGTGCATTGGCAAGGAGCTGGATTGGAAGCAGAGCACCCAGGGCTTCAACTAGCGCCAATATGGGATGCCAGCATCACAGGCAGCAGCTTTACCCACCACACCACAATGCAACCCCATTGGTTACATTATTCTAATCATTACTCTTATCATTTCCTTCCTGATTTTCAGATCAAAGTTTAAAAGCCTGAAAGAGGGACTGGCGTTGTGTCGTTAGTGGGTAAAGCTGCTGCCTGCAATGTTGGCATCCCATATGGGCGCTGGCTCAAATCCCGATTGCTCCACTTCCAATCCAGCTCCCTGCTAATGTACCTGGGGAAGAAGCAGCAAATGGCACAGGTTCCTGGGCTCCTACACCTGGAAGAAGCTCCTGGCTCCTGGTGGACTGGCCAGCTATTGACTCCTGGCTTCAGATTGGCCCAGCTCTGGCCATTGCAGCCATTTGAGGAGTGAACCAGCAGATGGAAGATCTCTCTCCCCTCTCCCTCTCTCTATAACTGTGCCTTTCAAATACATATATAAATCTTTTTTTTTTTTTTTTTTTTTTTTTTGACAGGCAGAGTGGATAGTGAGAGAGAGAGACAGAGAGAAAGGTCTTCCTTTTGCCGTTGGTTCACTCTCCAATGGCCGCCACGGCTGTCGCGCTGATCCGAAGGCAGGAGCCAGGTGCTTTTCCTGGTCTCCCATGGGGTGCAGGGCCCAAGCACTTGGGCCATCCTCCACTGCCTTCCTGGGCCACAGCAGAGAGCTAGCCTGGAAGAGGGGCAACCGGGACAGAATCCAGCGCCCCAACCAGGACTAGAACCCGGTGTGCTGCGCCACTAGGTGGAGGATTAGCCTATTGAGTCGCGGCGCCGGCCACATATATAAATCTTAAAAAAAAACTGAAAGAACACTTATGGAAAGAATTGAACTTTATTTCATATTCACTATCTCACTGATTTTCTCTAATTCTAATTTGAAGCAACTTACAAACTCCATTTCAAGCTTCAAAACCATAAAAGAAATCTCCTAAAACAAAATGAAATCCAGACATTTTATTACATCAATGCATGGTAAAATATAAAATTAAAGCCCAGGTACTCAAACAGCATAAAGCTGTATGTACAACTATATCTTCCTCCATTTGGTAGAGTGATACTGATGTATCATAAAAAGGCCAACAGCTACAAAATCCCATAGAGGACAGTCACTAAATGCCTCTGCTGGGATGCATTATTTCATATACACACAAAATGAACTGTAAATTTAACTAATGTATTTTGAGGTCTTACCAATTTCTCCATCTTGTCCAGGTTTAGGAATGCTGATAGAGGTTTTAGTCTCCAGCTCTATTTTCTTCCTAGTGTCCCCTCTCTTTCCAACTATATGCCTATAATAAAAAGAAAAATTAATAAAGGGGATTACATCAAATGTACCACAAAAAGGAATTCCACTGAGTTTAAATCTTCTGTGGCAGAGACACTCCCTTACAGAAAATGCTTCAGTAAAAATCAGTATTTACAGAGGAAATCATTAAGTCTTCCAACTCTACACGTGTGGAATTACACTCACTGGCCAATGATGTTCTACTGCTAGTTCAATGTATAAATAGAATAACCATGCTGACACCCATTTGCTTCTCAAATCAGATTCAAAATTTGGGCCTGCAGGTTCAAGGAACCCTTCAGCAACCAACAGGTCCATAATTTTAGGGGGGAGAATGTTGTCCTTTTGGAGAACAAATTAACTATGAGTTCATCCTAAAACTATACTTGATTAATAAGGGTTAATAAGATTAGCAAAGAGCAGTGTTCCCCTTTGGATAGATTCAAAAGCACAAAGAGTAAAAAGGCAACCACAGGCTGAATTCAGCACACAGATGTATCCTGTTTGGGAAATTTCATCTAAAGATATGTATTTGCAGATTCTTTCAGAAAAATCACAAGATCGGAAAACTTAGGGTAAACAACAGATTGAAGCCCACTCTTGACTCCCCCTCCATTACTCCCTCCTATCTTTCACTTGCCCTACTTCAATCATTACTGATTCATTTACATGACTTTCCTGGGCCTTGCAGTATGAAAAATTCTGACAATCCAAGGCTATCTTCTGGAACCCACAGTAATTAGATGTCTTAAAGGAAATGACACCACCAGATCCCCAGAGAAAAGTCCTGCAGTCTATAAAGCACTAAGAGACCATTAAAGGACTACAGAGGCAATGACCTCCCTGCCATCAACATGATTGCAATTATAGCACCCGTTACCACAGGTGACTATGTCTACAACTATTCACTTGTTTTTAAATGGGCTGTCCATACCCAGTTGTTTCCATTAAGATCTACTCTGGTAAGCCGGTTTTTTGTTTTGTTTTGTTTTTAATTTTTTTGACAGGCAGAGTGGACAGCGAGAGAGACAGAGAGAAAGGTCTTCCTTTTGCCGTTGGTTCACCCTCCAATGGCCGCCGCGGCCAGCGCACTGCAGCCAGCGCACCGTGCTGATCTGATGGCAGGAGCCAGGTACTTATCCTGGTCTCCCATGGGGTGCAGGGCCCAAGGACTTGGGCCATCCTCCACTGCACTCCCTGGCCACAACAGAGAGCTGGCCTGGAGAGAGGGGCAACCGGGACAGAATCCGGTGCCCCGACCGGGACTAGAACCCGGTGTGCTGGCGCTGCAAGGCAGAGGATTAGCCTAGTGAGCCGCGGCGCCAGCCTGGTAAGCCGGTTTTTAAAAAATAAGAGGTTTGTGGTAAGCGTTGTGACACAGTGGGTTAAGATGCTGCCTGAGATGCTGGCATGCCATATTGGAGAGCCAGCTCCGTTCCCGGCTGTTCCACCTCTGATGCAGCTCCCTAACACTCCTGGGAAGGCAGTGGAAGACAGCCCAGGTACTGGGGCCCCTGCCATTCAGGTGGGAGATCCGGATGGAGTTCCAGACTTTCAGCTTCAGCCTGCCCCAATCCTTGCCATTGCAGCCACCTGGGGAGTAAACTAGTGGATGGAAGATTCTCTTCTTCTGTCATTGTGCCTTTCAAATACATAATATCTTTAAAAAAAATGTTTTGAAGAGAATTGGAACTCTCTAATTTCCATGTGGTTTTCTGTGTTGGGCTGGACATGCTATGGCACAACTGTCAGGCCTTTGACTTCCCAGGCCTTTTTCATTAGAACTTTCAATCGGACTTCTACTGATTGTTATGTGGCCAGTGGACAAGCCTAGCACAGACAGTTTGCTGAAAATATTTTTAATAGTTTAGGCTTCAGCACCTTAGAAAGAGAAATGGTTGAGGTTAAAGTCATTTAACCACTCTAAGCCTACTTCCTCACTTATAAAGTGGAATGAATAATACCTATACATCATAAGGTTGTTGGAAGGATTAAATGTGATCATATATAATAGAGCTTCCCAGAAACTGGCCCAAATCTCCAAAGAGTCCATGCTATCCTTATTAAGCCCATAATGGTATCCTTCCAAGTGAAAACACAACACAATCAAATTCAAAAGAAGTTTACATAAGAACTCTAAAATATTCTATATAGTAATGCAGGTAAGCAGGGATACCTGGGTTGAATATGTAAGTGGAATTTCCTATCAAATGCAGTGGTTCTCAATCTTGGTCATACAGTGAAAATACCTTGGTTTAGGGGTTGCAAAAACTAATGGTTGGCCAGTGCCGTGGCTCACTAGGCTAATCCTCCGCCTTGTGGCGCCAGCACACCGGGTTCTAGTCCCGGTTGGGGAGCCGGATTCTGTCCCGGTTGCCCCTCTTCCAGGCCAGCTCTCTGCTGTGGCCAGGGAGTGCAGTGGAGGATGGCCCAAGTCCTTGGGCCCTGCACCCCATGGGAGACCAGAAGTACCTGGCTCCTGCCATCGGATCAGCACGCTGGCCGCGGCGGCCATTGGAGGGTGAACCAATGGCAAAGAAAGACCTTTCTCTCTGTCTCTCTCTCTCACTGTCCACTCTGTCAAAAAAAAAAAAAAAAAACTAATAGTGCCTGGGTCTCGCTCTCACAGGCTGACTTAATCGGTCTGAGGTACACCCAGGCACTGAAAAAAGAGTTTCAAACACTGATTCAAAGGTACACTGAGGCTGAGGATCACAGCATTACCTCTATTCTCTGACAGGTGTTGTCAACATTAGGGTTTGATTACACATTAGTTTGGTTTATTCCTTCCTTGACCCAAGTAAATGTAGAAAAATGATTCATAACAAAGAAATCTTCCTGGTAAATACTGTCTATTAATTAGGATTTAGCAGAGCCAAACCTAATCTAATATGCTAGACATCTGGTCCATAATGAGCACTTACACGACACAGCATTCAAAAGACCATCCAATCAGAATCAGACATCTAAGGAATGTTTACAAACTTCACCAATCAAAGTCATACACAGTAAGACATGTTTCACTGATTCTGTCAGGGAACTGAGCCCCAGCTTTCTAAAATCATGTTTCTTAGGGAAAAGTGTCACTTGAACCTGAGAGGAAAAGTGAGCTCTCAGGGTTAGTAGCAGTCTTGTCTGCCCACATTCCGGGAGAATTTCATCCTTAAAAACTATTTCAGAGTGCCCTCAAAGCTGACAAAAATGAAACTATTTGCCTCTTGCAGCTTAAAGGCACCTACTTCTGTATTTGTAAAGTTCCTGCCCCAGACCTAATGTGCTTGGACAGATCTAATTATTCAGCTGGTATAACACTGAAGAACACTGGCAGCCTTCCTCGACTAGCTTATCATCAAAAGCATAAGCACAAAAGTCAGCCACGTGAACTGATAACATTCTACATATCTGCAATTATTAAGAGACAGCCTGCGGTAATCACAAAGTTTCTAAATAATGACAGAGATCGCTCTGGAAAAGCACATTAGTCTTGGATAAACATCAGGGGATTGTTGGAACAGACCTATTCCTGCCTTCAAGAAGCTTCCCATCTCATATAGGAGACATCAAGTTGCACATAACAAATACAGATGGTGATAAATGCCACAAAGGAAAAGCAGAGTATGTTAAGAAAACAGATAGTAGGGTAATCAATGTTGGGGGGCGGGGGATGACAGTGTCAAGGCAAGCTTCCCTAAGAAAGGAGAATATATTTAAACACGGAAATGATTCCAAGGCAAAGGAACAGCAATGCAAATGCTCTTAGGCAGGAAGTACAGCACATTTGAAGAAGACCAGCTGGGTCTAAGTGCAAAGCCAGGGAAAGAACGGGATGAGCTGAGCCTAAAAAATGCAGGCCACCTAAGTCACATTCAAGATCACGGCCATCACTCTAAAGAAGACCGACAATGGATTTTAAGCAGATGTGGTAAAATAATCAAGTTAGCTTTTTAAAAAGATCATGCACCCTCTATGTGAAGAACTGACCAGGAAGAGAGCAGTAAGCAGCTTTCGGAAGTAATCCAGAGAAAAGGCGGAGGAGCACAGGCGCTCACGGAGGGAGGTAAGCGGCAGTCAAATCAACAGGACACGGTGACACCTGGGGAAGGTAATTGGTCCTTCGAAATTTGAGGACAGAAAACACTCAGCTATGTGATTAGTAGTAATCAAACACCACAGTCAGCTTCCCGCTGAGTTTCCTGGATGCGCCTGCCTGTGAAGCTGCGGGGGCCCTGACTCACTTGTACAGCAGGCTGGGGGCCCGCACGGTACAGCGGAATCCTTGTGGGGTCTGCTCCACGTCATAGGCATCACAGGGCTCACCGGCGTCCTCCATGGAGCCTGCACAGAAACCACAGCATCTGGCTCAGAAACGCCGCTCCCCTGGGGACAGCAGCCTTCTCCCCGGGTTTACAAAAACAGGACATGGGCACAAAGAGCCGACACTTCACCCCGCAGAACATCGCCCTGTTATTCCGTCTGAGCTCTCTTAGGAGAAATAAAGCATTTTAAAAGACATATAGGGACTACGTGAAATCTTTGACTCCTGGAAAAGCAGCATTTACATATAACAGTGTTTAACTCTTCGCTCTTAGAAAGGGAAGACAATGAAAATATATCCTTGTCTTTTGAGATGTAATTCACATAACATAAAGTTAACTCTGTTAGAAGTATACAATTCAGGGGCCGGCGCCGTGGCTCACTTGGTTAATCCTCCGCCTGCAGTGCCGGCATCCCATATGGGAGCCGGGTTCTAGTCCCGGCTGCTCCTCTTCCAGTCCAGCTCTCTGCTGTGGCCCGGGAGTGCACTGGAGGATGGCCCAAGTGCTTGGGCCCTGCACCCACATGGGAGACCAGGAGGAAGCACCTGGCTCCTGGCTTCGGATTGGTGCAGTGCACCGGCCGTGGTGGCCATTTGGGGGGTGAACCAACAAAAGTAATACCTTTCTCTCTGTCTCTCTCTTTCTCTCACTAATTCTGCCTGTCAAATAAAAAAAAAAGTATACAATTCAGTTCTTTTCAGATTTTCTTTTTTAACTTATTTGAAAGGCAGAGTTACAGAGAGAAAGGGAGGGAGGGACAGATCTTCCATCTGCCAGCTCACTCCCCGAATGTCTGCAACCTCCAGGACTGGGCAGGCCACACCCAGGAGCTTCTTCCAGGTCTCCCAGGTGGGTACAGGGGCCCAAGGACTGAGGCCATCTTCCACTGCTTTCCCAGGCGCATTAGCAAGGGAGCTGGATAGGAAGTAGAGTAGCTGGTCTCAAACCAGCACCCATAGGCAATGCCAGTGTCACAGGCTGTGGCTTAACCTCCTATATCACAACCCCAGCCCCTCAGAATTGGTTTAAGATTTATTTATTTGAAAGGCAGAGTAACAGAGGGAGAACCTCAAAAGCCTTCTTTATACATGAAACTCAAACTCAAGTTAATTAATCTAAAAATTTCTGTAAGCCATCTCAACTGTTTACTTTTTTTGTAAAGGAGTTATTTATTTATTTGAAGGTACAGTTAGAGAGAGACAACGAGAGACAGAGAGAAAATCTTCAATACACTGGTTCACTCCCCAAACGACTAGCTGGTGCTGGACCAATCTGAAGCCAGGAGCCAGGAGCTTCTTCCAGGTCTCCTAAGTGGGTGCAGGGGCCAAGCACTTGGGCCATCTTCCACTGCTTTTTCAGGCATATTAGCAGGGAGGTGGATCAGGAGTAGCAAGACTCAAACTGGCACCTGTATGGGGTGCTGGCACTGCAGACAGCAGCTTAGCCTGCTACACCACAGCACTGGCCCCACCTGCTTACTTCTTATAATTATTCCTATATTAAAGTTCTTGGTGCATCTGGAAGTCATGCCATGTCATGCACAGAGAAAAAGAAAATAACACAATAACAGCTAACATTATTGGGCATGGGACTAAATCCTTTACAAATGCTTATCTATTTGAATAATTTATATATATATATATATATATAAAACCTTGCAGAGTTGCAAGGAAACTGAATTTTGTCACAGAGTATTAATGGTTAATATTAATAATTAACTAAAATTACCCCTTATGACATTTAAGCCTCTTGTGACAAAGATGAAACAGAACTTGAGTAATGAACTGCAACAGAGAATGCCTCCAACTCACTCTCATCAGTGCCCTTAGCCATCAAATGAGCTAGGGCGAGTCAAATGTCTCCAGTTTCAGTGCTGACACAGACACTCATTGAAACAACACACAGGACTGCTCCTCCAATACAGGGGACACACCGCAACCAGGAGTACCTTGATAGAAGTCCTCCTCCTCCTCTTCATGCTGATAGCTCTTTTCTTGGATGGGGTTTTTCCTGTAATTCCGCCCCTCAATTCTTACAAGTTGTGGGCGCAGAACTTCCATGACACCTTCTCCAAATTCTGGTCAAGTCCTGAAAAACAAAATTATCACCTGACCTCTTTAGAGTCAAAACCAAAACCTTAGCTCTGCCACGGGGCCTCCGCAAGCCTGGCGTCAGGTCACAGCTCGCGCCAAGCAGAGGACGCTCTGTTGTCCACTGGACCCCACCTGTGAGCTCCGTGAGGTCAACTGTTGCAGTTGCCGCAGTATTTCATTCCTGACTCACTCCAGACAGCAAAGTAACCTGCCCACTACTTATCGGCCCCTCCTCCACGACTTTGAGAGAGATAGCTCTTTATTACTTTAACTGAAAGGGAGTAAAATCCAACCTTCTGTGTTTCTCCAACCATTTGCAGTGTCTCAGCCTTTTAATACAGCACAAGAATTAAGACAAAGAGGGATATTTAGTGGGTTCACTGGGACAAAAAAGCCTTCGATGCTTCCAGGGGTGCTGGAAATCAAAGCCCAACAACGGATCCAGCTGCCTGTCAAAGTACAGTTCAAACATGACCTCCGTGGGTCACAGGCCAACACAGGCTCAGGGCAGGAATCCAGCGTCTACAGACCTCTGCCCAACAACCCACCCATCACTCACTGAGATGCAAGCTTCTGGTCACACGTCATCAACCAGTAACTTGGGAAGCAAAGGTTCCTGCCGGGCTAGCTGTGGGGAAGTTCAACCAGTGCTCCCTCCACTACAGCCTAGACAGCCTTGAAGCCCAAACGCCTCAGCGTTCCAAAGAAAACAGATCAATTCTTACCCAACACACTAATGCTCGCCCCAACCCTCTGCAAGCCACTGTGGTTGCTACGGAGTTCATAGATAGCTCCTACAACGGAAAACTACACGGATGGTAAATCTACTTGGATAAAGAGCAACTGTCGGATGACGCTGGCCTCTAGAGCCCTATTCCCCTGGGACGTCTCCAAAAAAACAGCTCTCCACAAAAATAGACTCGAATGTCAAGGTCGGGCCCTCAGAGAGCCGCAAACTGGGACTCAACCTTTTTCCTACGCGGCCCCGATGGGCGACAGCTCTGAAGAGCAGTAACCCACTTAAAACTCTGCTTCGTGACGGCTTGGGAAGAGGAAAGAGCAGCTTTCTCCAGTGTGGTGGGAGAAGCTGATCCCCTACATCACAAAAGCGAGCAAAAACACGAGAACGCCAAAGCGAGGTTAAAGGGCTGGCCGGCGCGGGTAAACCGAGGTAGACCCGGAAGCGAACGACCCGGAAGTCGTGGCCGGGAGCGCGCTCTCCGCGCCTCGCCTCCCGCCTCCGCCGGGGCCACGCCCACCACGGCGCAGGCGCGCGCCCGCCGCCACCCGCTCCCCCCGAGCGGGCGCGAGCACGCCGCCGACATCGCCGTAGTGAGCGCGACCGCTCTGGCTGGCCCTGGGGGCGGGGCTGTGGGGGAAAGTGCCAAAGCCGCTGAGGTAAGTGGCCCACAGCTCCAGGATCTTCGGGGGTTTGGTCGACCTCCAGAATCCTACCTGCAGGGACTAGGGAAATGGAGAAGGTGGCAGGAGAAATAAGAGGCTGCCGCAGCGGGTGTGTCTAGGGAAATTTCTTCAGGCCGCGCCGGACTGACTGCGCATGCGGGCCGAGTGTGGCGCCTGCGCAGTGGGACGGCGCTGATGGCGTCGCTGCCTGGGAACAGACCCGAGTGGGGAGAGTGGCTTGGAGTTGGGAGCTTCGGGCCTTCTGGCCCCTCCCACCTGCCCAGCCCGCCCCAGGTTTAGCCGCTGCAGCTGTGCGATTTCGATTGCAATCCGGCTGTTGCAGCGGAACACAGGGGGAACCGTCGTTTGTTGATGGTAATTCGCCCCTGCACTGGGGGTCTGTTTTTGATGAGGTTTTTGGAAAGCAAAGCCCTCTTTTAAGAGAATGGCCATAGGTCAGGAGAGCAGTGTATGAGTGCGAGGGCATGCCTGTCTACATGAAGGTCAGTGCGACGCAGCCCTGCAGGGTCCCCGAAAACATCACTGCTCCCCTCGACGATCTGTGTGGCAGTAGCCCCGACTTCCCCGACAGGGCCAAGCCCCAGGTTGCTCCTTCGTCAGTGAGTAGTCGACAGAACCTTGCTGAGCACTACGTGGGTCCAGCAGCCCAGTGAGAGCCGTGTGAATAGATGTGCCCAGTGAGGGGTAAAGCACGTGACGCCAAGCTCCGCCGTCCGTCCCCTGCGGAAGCTGCGCTAAGCCGCTTGTGTCCTGTCGTTTGTTCATCGTTCATCCGGGGAACCCTGTGGTCGGGTTCTGTGCTAGGCCTGGAGGTAACAAAGCCAATCCCTTACCCGGCTTTGCAGGCTCACAGGATTCTGTCTGCCATGAGGAATGTTGGAGTGAAAGGGCAGTGTGTGGTGGGGGGCCCTGTGCCCCCTGAGCACAGCCGCTCTCCGCCAGGAGCTAGTTGTCTCTGTGTCGGGGGAACAGACGTGTTGACGCCTAAGTGTGGAAGACAGATCTGCAAAAGAAAAAAGGACCTAGGAGAAAATGTCCGTTAACGATTTTGAGTAGCTTAAGCTGCAATCAGCATTTACTAAGCCTGTCACTCGCAGTTGCTTTGTGTGTATTAACTAATTTAATCTGCACATGCCTCTATGAGGTAGGTTCTGTTAATATGCCCATATTACAGACAGCGAGGAACAGAAAGGTTAAGTGATATGTCGGGTCATGTGGCAAAGGAGTGGCAAAACCAGGACTTGCACCCAGGCAGGGAGGCTTCAGTGTCTGAATTCTGTACCACCGTGCTGTTTTGCCTTGCAGTACACTGCATGTGACACAGGACATGCCAGCAAGCCATTGCCTCAAAATGTTATGGCAGATAAGCCAAAACAGTCAGGTTTGTTGTCTCTAAGTGAACACACTAGATTAGATGAACCCCAAGAAATCTGATTCCATTCATTCAGCAAACATTCACTTAAATTAGCAGCTACTTACTGTAAGTCAGCATTTATGCTTAGTTCAGATGCCTGCCCTCAGAAGTTAGAATCTAGGATTTATTGTAATTTCTCCTTAATTCTCATTCACCAGTTGCTGATAGCATTTAAAATTTAAATCTTTAGGGCTAGAAATTACTTGGTTGTTTATTTCCACCTCAGCAGAAAACTGCTCATTTAAAGCGTTTAAATTCTGTGCTCCTGCTTTTCAGCCCCGGCTGTTGTGTGTATAGGATGATAGCACTGAGACTGCAAGCACGGGGGATGAACAGGCCTTCCTTGGATTGTACTCAGAATAGAGACCACACCATGGTTACCTTTTGAGGTTGTCCTCACTCTATCAGTTGCCTGGGTGCTCTGCTGAGGAACTGATCTCAAAATTCAAAACGCGCAGCTGAATCACAGGGTGTAAGAACAAGCTTAGAGTTCCAAATCTGGCGAAATAAAGTGGGGTCTCTCTGAGCGGATGGGAAATAAAGACTAGGCTACTCTCTATAAAGTGGCTGGGAATCCAGCCTGGCCCCATACTGCTTAAGTTCTTTGTAAAGAGCATTCAAAAACTTATCAAGCTCTATTTTGACCCAGTGTGTCCCAAAGAAATGGATATGAACCTCACTAGAAAAGTTACTGCCTGTATAAATGTGAATACAATTTAAAAATTTATCAGAGCTCAGAGAAAAAAGGGAAGTTAATCTAATAGCGAGATTGAAAATGTCATTAACCAATTTGCATTTTTAATAGGCTGACAATCTAATTACAGCATTTCCTTACTGTTCCCATATCCTACTTCGGTATTAATCAGTGTTACTTATAGATGTACAGTGACATCAGAAACAAAGCTTTGCTTCTTACAGCCTTAAATCATCATCGCAGAATCAGGAAACAGAACAGCCAGTATTTCAGACGTAGTATATCATTTTTCTGACTAGGAAACTATATATGATATATATATATATAATGCATATATATAATGCATAGCATTCCCTCATTTTTTTCTACTTTTTTAAAAAACAAGTTTAAACTTTCTATTACAAATATATTCATTTTACAAATGGCAAAAACACTTAATGAAAAATATTCAGCTAAAATGTTCTCTGATCATTACAGAGGGCAATTCATTTTAAAAATCCTTTTAAACTTTTTTTTTATGTGGCTAAAATTTACATAACACAAAATTAACCATTTATCATCTTAAAGGGCATAATTCAGTATCAACTCATTTTGTAATTTAAATACAGTTGCAGTAGCCAATACAGAAACCACTAGCCACATGTAGCTATTGAAATTTTAATTAACATCCAATACAATTTTAAATACAGTTCTTCCATCATCCTAATTTATAGGCAGTACATGAGGCTGTGACTGCTGTATGAGGCAGTGTAGAAATAGAACATTAGAGCGTTTAACATCACAGCAGAACCTTCCCTGAGACCGCATGGTACTAGACCATTTTTCTACTAAGTATACCCTTCAGAATCTTTCGTTAGGGCCACACAAGCTTTATCCTAGTAAACAGAGTGTGCCTGTTTTGAACTTTTGTAAAAAGTCGTGTCTTCAGTATAGATTTTCTCATTTACATTTGAATTTTTGATATGACAGGGACTAAACACGAGCAGCTGCTGTATTCCTAGCAGGTCAGGATTTCCAGCATCCTTGTCTGAGCTGTTTTGTTCCAGTTTTGGGATGCCACCAAGTGATAAGTTTCGGTACTACATTTGGGTGGAAAGGTTAAAAAAATGTTTAATGAAAGGGCCAATACGTATTTCCTAACCAATTTTCCCTTCCTTGGGAACAGAACACAGTGTTATTCTGAAATTTTATGTGGAAAATTTTATAAGTGAATTTCTTGGTGTGGTTTGGTCAGAGTGTGTCCAAGACAAACTGTCCTATGGAGGATGGTGGTTTAATTTCCACAGTCAGATTTGTGCTTGGCCCTGCCATGGCTCCCCTTCATAACTCGTAAATCACCCACAGTCAGTCTCAAGTGACACACAGTTTGCTGGTCACAGGAAGTAGTCTTTTCAGTAGACAGACTTCTTAAACATACTTTGGCTTCAAAACGAAAAGATTGTGGGAGTTGAAAAGGTAGAAGACAGGGGAACCTGTTCTGTACAAAACTGTATGCTGGCCCTTGCGGTGGAATGAAATGTTGTTGATTGCGCTTCCATTGCTGTTTTTCTTGTCTGTAGTGAAGTGAGCCTTCGCCTGGAGAGGAAATGGCTGCCTCGTCGTCGTCCTCCTCGGCTGGTGGGGTCAGTGGGAGTTCTGTCACTGGATCTGGTTTCAGTGTGTCAGACCTCGCCCCACCACGGAAAGCCCTTTTCACCTACCCCAAAGGAGCTGGAGAGATGTTAGAAGGTGATCTCATGCTGCTTTTTGCTGAATAATTTGCCTTAGACCTGCAGTGAATATTAATTGTAAAGAAGCTTTTAAATGGATTTGAGATCAGTTTGTCCTGATTTCAGCTCTACGTTTCATCTCTTGTTCCCATCTCAAAATAGTATCTTTAAAAACAAATCTTGCTCCATAGTCACAATTTAGGAGCTGAAAAAAAGACTTTGGAAATCAAGGAGGTCATCCAGAGTTATTTAGATCCAGAAGAGTTAAGTTATTTGACCACGTTAAAGGAAGCCGGCACTAGAACCAGCAATTCTTTTAGCTTCCTTCTCCAGTTTGCCTTATCTTTGCACCCATCTACCTCTTCTTGGTGGGAGGTTCATGGTATTTTTTCCTACTATAATTAATCTACAGAAAGAGCATCCCATCAGAGAGGGTCTAAGAGAAAATAATAGCTATCACCCTGCTCTTTAACAAGGAGATGACCCTTCTGGCCCCCTGAAGGCCCCAGAGCCAGGTGTACATGCAGTCATCCACCATCCTGTTGAGCACACAGACTGGCTGGCCAAGATCCAGTATGGGCTGTAAGCATAAAGCCATGTTGGTAGCTGCAGTTCATCAGATTCATGTCAATATTAGGAGCTTGACTAATAGCATCAAAAATCACTTGAAGAGCTTTTTTTAAAATACACATTTATAGACAGGCTTTTGGCCTAGAGGTTAATGATACCTGCATCCCATAGCAGAGTACCTGGGTTCGAGGCTCAGCTTCACTCCCAGTTCCACCTTTCTGCTATGGTGTACTTTGAAGGTAGCACATGATAGCATAAGTATTTGGGTTGCCACCACTCGTGAAGGAGAGCTAGATTGAGTTCCCAGCTCTCAGCTTCAGCCCCTTTCCAGTACTGGCCATTGTGGTCATTTAGGGAGTGAACCAGTGAATGCAAGTGCTCTCACAAATCAAAAATAATAGTAACATATTTCTGGGCCTTGTGTATAGATTCTTAGCATAGCACAAGAATCCTCATTTTGACCAATGTCCAGGACCCTCTCATAAGGATAGTCTTCTCATTTTTTTTCTTTTTTTAAGTATTATTTATTTGGAAGGCAGCATTACAGAGAGAGAGAAAGACAGATCCAGATCTTACATCCACTGGTGGCAGTGATCTTACTGCCAAGGTGGCCACAACTGCCGGAACAGGGCCATGGTGAAGCCAGAAGCCTGGAGTTCCATCGAGGTCTGTCATTTGTGTGGCAGGGCCCAAGCACGTGGGCTGTCTTTCACTGCCTTCCCAGACACATTAGCATGGGGCTGGATCAGAAGTGGAGCAGCCAGGACTCCAATCAGTGCTCATATGGGATGCCAGCATCACAGGCAGCTGCTTCACCTCTTGTACCACAGTGCCAGCCCCTTATCATATTCTGAAAAACATTGACAAAGAACATCTGGACACCAGTTGGAATCCCGGCTGCTCCACTTCTGATCCAGCTCAGACTGGCACAGTCCCGGCTATTGCAGCCATTTGTGGAGTGAGCCAATGAATGCAAAATCTGTCTGTGTCCATCTCTCCCTCTCTCTAACATTGCCTTCCAAATAAATAAATCTTTTTTTTTACATTCTTTTTTTTATTTTATTTTATTTTATTTTTTTGACAGGCAGAGTGGACAGTGAGAGAGAGAGACAGAGAGAAAGGTCTTCCTTTTGCCGTTGGTTCACTCTCCAATGGCTGGCACGCTGCGGCCGGCGCACCGCGCTGATCCGATGGCAGGAGCCAGGTGCTTCTCCTGGTCTCCCATGGGGTATAGGGCCCAAGCACTTGGGCCATCCTCCACTGCACTCCCTGGCCACAGCAGAGAGCTGGCTTGCAAGAGGGGCAACCGGGACAGAATCCGGTGTCCCGACTGGGACTAGAATCCGGTGTGCCGGTGCCGCAAGGCGGAGGATTAGCCTAGTGAGCTGCGGCGCCGGCCAAATAAATAAATCTTTTTAAGAAAATCTACTTGATGCTAGTTTTGAAACTTATTTATATATTTACCTTTTTGCCTGAAATACTACAAATTTACATAAATATATAATTTATTTATTTATTTGAGAGGTAGAGTTAAAGACAGTGAGAGGGAGAGACAGAAAGGTCTTCCATCTGTTGGTTTACTCCCCATTTGGCCACAACGGCCATAGCTGCGCCAGTCTGAAGCTAGGAGCCAGATGCTTCTTCCTGGTCTCTTATGTGGGTGCAGGGGCCCAAGGACTTGGGCCACCTTCTGCTGCTTTCCCAGGCCACAGCAGAGAGCTGGACTGGAAGAGGAGCAGCCAGGACAGAATCCAGCGCCCCAACCGGGACTAGAACCCGATGTGCTGGCGCTGCAGGCAAAGGATTAGCCAAGTGAGCTGCGATGCGGGCTGCATCAGTAACTTAAAGCTACTTATACTTAAAGACAGACTATGGAAAATAATGCAGAGATTGCAACCTCTGAACTCTCCTAAGTCAAACCAAGAATATTAAATTGGGGAAAGGCATTTGGCCTAGCAGGTAAGACACTGGTCAGGATGCCTGTTTCCTAGACTGAGTGCTGGTTTGAGTCCTGGCCCCACCCACGATCCTAGCACTCTGCTAACATGCACCCTGTGAGGCCCTTGAGTCCTGCCGCTTCCACGGGATGGAGTTCCCAGCTACCAGCTTTCGCCTGACTTCTCAACTCTGGTCAGTGTGAGCATTTGGGGAATGAACTGACAGATGGGATCTCGCATGTCTGTTTCTCCCCTCCCCTGACCCCCCCCCCCACGCGCGCCTTTTAAGTAAAAGTAAACAAGTGAAATTTTTAAAAAATTGAAACTGAAAATAGCCCTTCCTCAGTATCTATAAGTTCTAGGACACCACCACCCTGGATGCTCAAGTCATTTATATAAAACGCCATAGTAGTGGCATATAGCCTATACATCCTCCCACATAGTACTCCTAAACATGAGGCAGCAGGGCCAGCATTGTAGCATAGCAGAGGTGGAGCCGCTTCCTGTGACACCAGCATCCCATGTGGGTGCTGGCTGGAGACCTGTCTGCTCCGCTTCCAATCCAGCTCCCTGCTGATGTACCTGGGAAAGCAAAGAAGGCATCCCAAGTGCTCGGGCCTCTGCACCCACATGGGAGACCCAGGCCATGGCAGAGAGCTGGATCAGAAGTGGAGCAGCCAGGACTTGAACCGGTGCCCATAGGAGATGCAGCACTTCAGGCAGTGGCTTTACCCTCAGCGCCAGCCCCTAAGCTTTTTTAAAATGAAAACTTGAGTTATAATTGTTCTTTTTAAATAAAGGTAGGAATAAGATAATGAACTCTTGCATATCATTTACACAGAAGAACAATGATAAATTATATCATTGGTACCGAATGTTTACAGTTCCCTCTTGCCATAATGGAATTCAGTTATATGCTGCCTGTTGCTTTTACCTAAAAAATTTCAGTGATGTCATTAGCTTGCCTAGATATTTAAATCAGTCAGATTAATATTCAATTAATTGAAAATGATATTTTTTGCTCAGTTTAGATGATCTGCTCACAATGACTTACATTCAGCCAGAGAAATGAGGTTAGGCATAGGGATGGACTCATATCCCATATAATTTACAATATGTAGAAAAGAGACTTGAATTATAACTTAGAATATAACATAGAATATAACATACTCCCTGGGAGCTGGCGCTACAATATAGTGGGTAAAGCTGCCATCTCCTGCGCTAGCATCCCATATGGGTGCCTATTTCAGTCCTGGCTGCTCCACTTCCAATCCAGCCCCCTGCTAATGCACCCAGGAAAGCAGCAGAAGATGGCCCAAGTGCTTGGGCCCCTGCACCCACATGGGAGACCTGGATGAAGCTCCTGGCTCCTGGCTTCAGCCTGGCCCAGCCTTGGTCGTTGCAGCCATTTGGGAAGTAAACCAGCAGATGGAAGAACACACTGCTCTCTCTCTTCTGTGTCTCTCTCTCTCTTACTGTAACTCTGACTTTCAGATGAATAAATAAATGTTAAAAAAAAAAAAAAAGAAAAAACACTCTCCTTGAAGAATGTCTATCCCAAAAATTATAATTTCATTTCTTTCTTCCCTTTTATCTTTGCATCAATTTGGACATAATATTGGGAGAAAGGCCGTTTGGTTGTTAATATAAGCCATTTGGATGTAATGTCCGTAGTTTTTCTTATTGATTACCTTGACTTCTGAACTAAATTTTACCTGGTGTGAAACTCAGTGTAAGGCCAGAACGGGTTTGTCCTATCTCCTTGTCACTTAATACCCAGCTTACCCATCCACCCGTGATTGATGGGTGAGTGCCTGACACCCAGTAGTGCGGGCATGAACTGCTGCCTGGTCAAGAAGGCAGCTCTGTCCACTTGTTTCAGAATCTTTACAACAAGATACGTGCCCCAAATGGGTTGTGGCCTTTTTAAAAAGTTTGGTTTTCCCACATGAACTATGTATCTTTGGGGATATATTCTGCTGTGCCAGCCCTTGCCTGACGAGCAATAACATGAACTAACTTACGTTTCCAGATGCTGTGGTTACCAAGTTAGCTGCCGTCTTGTTGGCAGTACTTGGCACCAATACAGTGCTAAGTTCTGAACTTGCACCATACTCTGATCGTCATACAAATTGCAGTGTTTTGGTTCAGTTGGAAAATCAAGGTTACAATTTGCGTTTTCAGAATGAAATTTCCCAGCAGTGTTTTGTGATGGTCACCATGATGTAATTTGATATATTAAAACATCAACAACTTTTCCTTCAGCTTTGTCTTTTCACAATGAAAATTATTTGGGCTTTTGGTGTACCTTTGTGTTTTCATAGCACAAGGGCCAAGTCCCCTGGTGTGTCAGCTGCCGATGTTTGCCTGACACGCAGGATAGAACGTTAAGAAACTGTCCGTTTGGGAAGGGGAGATGTTGACAGGACATGAAACTGAGGTTACTTGTTTTTTGTTTTTTTAAACACTATTTTTAAACTCTTAAGCAAGTAAAAGAACTATTTTAATATTGTAGGTATAGAAGAAGTAGCTATTACAACAGAGCAGTGTTAGTTTTAAATGTTTGTTAGCACTGAAAACCAGACCCTGCCTGTAGAAGTAGAGGAAAGAATAGACAAATGGACTGGGTTAATGAGAAGCTGAAGATCCTAACCGCAGATGACACCTTGTCCTCTTTGGTTGTAGATGGCTCTGAGAGATTTCTCTGCGAGTCCGTTTTCAGCTATCAAGTGGCATCCACACTTAAACAGGTGAAACATGGTAAGCACAGGGTGTTGTGTACCTGGAGAACACGTTTGCTGGGGGAGGGGCGCTCTGAAAGGTCAGCGTCCTGTGACAGAAACCTGCCCACCACTCCCAGACCCAGTGAGGCTATTTAGGTTAACAGCATTGTCAAGTCTAAATTCAGACGTGAGGTCCATATTGAGACTCCCTGTAGGAGTCGGAGATGCTCTCCAGGGCAGTCACCGCTTCCTGCTCCGGGTCCCATTTTCCTGTCCTTTCTGGAACTCCCTTCACTGTAGCCCTCCTTGCCTTCCACAGTCTGTGTTGTGCCTGAAAGTCTGTGGGGACGCTGATCCTGGTGGTGCTGCTCCCCCAGCAGGCCCCCTCTCCCTTCAAAGTATTCTGTGGGGGAAGCTGCGGCTGCCTCTACCGCTAGCCACGATTGTAGTCTACAGATCACGGGGGCACAAAGAATGAATGCTTAAAAAACCTGACAGTGTGATCATTTCATTTCAAAATGATTTTTAACAGTATGAGAAACTTTTTAGGCTAAAAATCAAGGAAAGAAAGAACAGAGCACAGAGTTGTCATTTCTAAAGAAACCTGATCAGCCGGCGCCGCAGCTCACTAGGCTAATCCTCCGCCTGCGGCGCCGGCACCCTGGGTTCTAGTCCCGGTTGGGGTGCCAGGTTCTAGTCCTGGTTGCTCCTCTTCCAGTCCAGCTCTCTGCTGTGGCCCAGGAAGGCAGTGGAGGATGGCCCAAGTGCTTGGGCCCTGCACCCGCATGGGAGACCAGGAGGAAGCACTGCTTCGGATCGGCGCAGTGCGCTGGCCGTAGCAACCATTTGGGGGTGAACCAAAGGAAGGAAGACCTTTCAGTCTCTCTCTCTCACTGTCTAACTCTGCCTGTCAAAAAAAAAAAAAAAAAAAAATAGGACAGAAAAAAAAAACCTGGTCGCTGAGGCCGCTGTGATGTGATGGAAGGTGGGGTGTCAGGAGCCTGGGAGCCGTGATGACTTAACAGCTACAGGAGAAAAAAATCAATGCCTACTATACTGAGAATGTTCAGAGGGGTAAATACTTACTGTGGTCTGGAAGGTTTCACCTTTGTTATAGTTTAAAAAAGAACATGAATGGAAAATGATTGGGAATATCTTTATGGGTTGTTGTTTTTTTTTTAATACTAAATCATCTGACCAGCATAGGATAAGATCCCATTAGTAAGTTACTAAGGGAAAAAAATCCACCTAGAAATTATTTTTGAACCAGCTGTGTCGGTGGCTGGTGCCAGTCTCGTGGGAAATGCACGGGTGTCTTACATTACCTCCTTGCCTTCTCACAGATCAGCAGGTTGCTCGGATGGAAAAACTCGCTGGTTTGGTAGAAGAGCTGGAGGCCGATGAGTGGCGGTTCAAACCCATCGAGCAGCTGCTGGGGTTCACGCCCTCTTCAGGTTAACGTCGCCTGCGTGGTCACCTCTGGTGCGCAGCAAGTGCAGAGCCAGCGAGGAACTTTCCTCCAGCCTCCGTGGCCACACAGGGACTCAGAGCTGCGTTGCTGAATTGTTAACTCATATCCATACTTGGTTTCTCTGTGTCTGTCCACAGGCAACAAATACTTAAATGTGTGATCTTGCAGGGAAAATGTTTGTTTATTTGTTTTAAAAAGTATTGAGACAATCGGTTTCAGAGAACCAGGAGGTTTGGGTTTAAGATAGATTTATAAAATTTTCACAAGCCACGTGGGACACATGCCAGAAATGGCCAACTGAATGGTGTGTATCCTGTCACTGATGCAGTGCCTGGAAGTCTTCCCCAGTCCAGTCCATGGTCAGGAGCTGCTGGTGTGCAGCGCTTCTGACCTAAAACAGTTCTTTTGCAGATGAATGTGTTTTCAACTCAGGACTTGTCCAAATGAGGAATTTTTAAGTGTCCATTTTTTCTCCTATTTTTAGACATCTAAATCTATAGATTCTAACTTTTTCTAACCTCTTCTAGACATGCCAGTTGCTGGCTAAAGGAATTGCTTTTTGAATGTTGCAGCACTTAGAAAAATAAACCAGTGAGTAAAATCCTTTTAACACAGAAATTCTGAGTTTATCACATTGGGAGACTCAAACAATTCTGTAGCAAATAAATCCTTTGAAAGAACTCCAAATTGGTGTCTTTATCCTTTCAAAGTCTTAGGGATTTGGACCAGGGGAAAGAGGGCAAATTACTTTTTACAGGAAGGAAACTTAAAAACCATTTCTCCCAAAGAAGTGGTAGATTTGCTTTACTTCAGAGTTATTTGTCTTTACGGGGGTATGAGAATTTACTGACATCAGTAGGTTTTTAGACCATGACAGGGGAAGCCCGGGAGGCTCAGCCGTATTCTTTGTTCGCCCATGTGGGACCCCAGGGTCCACACTGCACAATTCAGAGATTCATATAGGGTCAGCATAGCAGTGAAGACACCACTTGGGATGCCCGCACTGGAGGGCCTGGGTTCAAGTCCCAGCTCCACTTCACATTCCAGCTTCCTGCTGATGGGCACCCTGGGAGGCAGCAGGCAGTTGGGTCCTTACCACCTGCTGGGGCACCCAGATTGAGCTCCCAGCTCCTGGCTTCAGCCTGGCCCAGCCCGGGCTGATGCAGACATCTGGGGGAGGGAACCAGTGTTTGGGAGAGCCATTCTCTCTCTCTCTCTCATATGTATATATGTGCGTGTGTCTGTGTGTCTTTCAAATAAATAAAAACTAAAGAGAATTACTTGTTATATCATACACAGATTTTGCCTTAGACTACAGATTTGCCTTTCTCCTCCTTTATAACTTGGATCCAATCTGCTTAGAGTTGCTTAATTATAAGTAAGTATAATCCCAGTGGCAGCTGGCCTTCATCTCAGGGGTTCAAAATGTTACATGTACTACCTGACAGGGAGGTGGCGAGCTCATTCCATCAGTAGGGAGGCTGGACCCAAGGAAGTTAAAGACCTGCCCGTGGACTCACAGCTCAAGCAGAACTTAAGTAGATCGCAGTTGCTTGATAATTCCACCTGCTATTTCTTATCTGTTAAGCAGATCCGAACACAAGAAATACCAGGCCACAGACTCACCTCTTCCATGTTAATATGTCTGTCAGACCAACAAGGTCTAGGTTTGAAAGTGGTTGAGTTCTTTACTTTTTAGCAACAAAACATCTTGACAATTACAACGGAAAGATTCAACTTCAGTAAACCGTTAAGTAGGATTTTCAGGGACCAGCATCCAGCTCAGTGGGTTGCTCGTGATACTCGCCTAGGTCCCATATCAGTGCTGGTGTGGTCACAGCTGCCCCACTTCTGATCCAGCTCTGTTGACGCACCTAGGAAAGCCGTGGAAGATGGCCCAGCTATGTAGACCCCTGCCACCCATGTGGGAGACCCAGACAGAGTTCCAGGCTCTTGGCTTTGGTCTAACCCAGCTCCCAACACTGTGGTCATTTGGGGAGTGAGCAGATGGAAGATATTTCTCTCTGTCCTCTCTGACACTGTGCCCCAAATAAACAAATCTTTGAAAATAAATATATAGGATCATCAGTGACAAATTAGAAGCAACAACTACCTTTCTCTTGCTTGTTTCATTTGTACGACTGCAGCACAGACACTGAATTGCCTCATCCTTACTCTTGGTTTTTGAACTTCTTATGTAATTTTTTCTTTAGTAGGGCATTTCTTCATATGACCTTAGAAATTAAAGAGATCTTAAAGTTGGATGGAAATGCTTTTTGAAACGCTTTCATTGTGAGCTTTTTGCGTTGATCATTCAGCTGCAGCTTCACTCCTGCCAAGAACAAAAGCCTCACTGGTTTTGAAGACCACAGCTCCCTCTCTGCTCTTCTGTTGGCTGCTGTGTTTCATCATCCATAACTCTCACAGTGCCCTGGGTACGGACATGGGCCCTGCTGCTCATCTGTCACCTCTTACGCACTTTCTGTGTACATGTCACTCACAGGCATGCATTATAATCCTTTCAGTAACGCTGCAAGATATGTGATACCTTCTAAAATAAAAGGAACTTCAAGTCCAGGGAAAGTGTTACTTGCCGAGGCACCACAGCTATGTCGGCGGCCACATGTGATTTTGGACTTAAGTATGCACAACTCTGAAGCTGAGATTCATTTGGAGAAACAGAAATCCATCTGCTTGTTCACTCCCCAAATTCCTGCACAGCCGGAGCTCGGCCAGGCCAAAGCCAGGAGCTGGGAACTCAATCCGGGTCTCCCATGTAGGTGGCACGGACCCACGTACTTGAGCAGTCACCTGCTGCCTCTCAGTTTGTCCTGGTAATGCGGGAGTGAGGGGCAGTCAGGACTGAACCTAGCGCTCCAGGATGGGATGCAGGCACCACAAGCTGTGTGCCACCCACCGCCCCCAGAGCTGGGGGCTGCATCCATCTGAGCCCAGCAGTGCCTTGGACAAAGAAGAATCCCAAACCTTTTCTCATGGTAAAATGCGTTAACTACCCAGGCAAAAATAAGCCTTTCTACTGCACTCCCTTCCTCCTCCCAAGGCTCGCTGATGAGGCCTGTGGAGCATGACGAACACAGATTCCGTGTGGGGAGAATACCGTTAGGTGCTTGAGGAGAGCTAGTCTGGGGACAGCTGAGTGAGCAAGCAGGAGGGCAGGTGGCAGCCAAGGACCAGGACCACCCAACCAGCCAGCCTGGACAAGCCAAAGGCGACAGTGCCTGCTGCGCATAAACACTTGGCAGTTTATAAAGTGTGAGGTGCGTTATCTTGATTGTCTTGTCAGTGCTGCACAGAGATGAGGCAAGGATGATGGACTTGAAAAAGCTCGTGGAACACAGTAATTAGATAAGGTTGTTTTGTTGCAAAAAAAAAATTGAAAGCAATATTCATAATTGTGTTCCACAAACTTTTTGAAGTTGAACAAGCAGGTGTGGAGAAAGTTAAGATACCAGTATTACAAGGAGACTTCAAAAAACTGAGAAATGGAATTCAAATATTTTTATCTGGGTGCAAAAATGAAACAGGCTTTTGACCTAGCAATTAAGATGCCACTTGGGATGCCCACACCCTGCATCAGAGGGTTCAAGTCTCAGCTCTGCTCCGGATTCCAGCTTCCGGCTAATCACACTGTGAGAGGCAGCAGGTGAAGGCCTGCCACCTACATGGGAGACCTGGATTGAGTTCCCAGCTCCTGGCTTCAGCTTGGCCCAGCCCTGACTGTTACAGGTGGGAGATCTCACTATGTCTCTCTCTCACTATGTCTCACTATGATCTCACTATGTCTCTCTGTTTGATTGTCTTTCAAATAAATACCTTTCAATACATACTATGAAAAAACCATGGATGGAGCTGGTGTTGTGGCAGAGCAGGTTAAGTCACTGCCTGTGACATCACCATCCCCTGTTAGAGGGCCTGTTTAAGTCCCAGCTACTCTGCTTTGCGCTTTTTTAAAAAATTTATTTATCCGAAAAGCAGAGTTAAAGAGACAGAGAGAGAGAGGTTTCCCATCCACTGGTTGACTCCCCAGATGGTTGCAACAGCCAGAGCTTCTTCCTGGTCTCCCATGTAGGTGCAGGGGCCATCCTCTGCTGCATTCCTAGCCTCATTAGCAAGGAGCTGGATCGGAAGTGGAGCAGCCAGGACTTGAACCAGTGCCCACATGGGATGCTGGCACTGCAGGTGGTGGCTTAACCTGCTATGTCGCAGTGCCAGCCCTCCTTCCCCCACCCCCAACTGCTGATCCAGCTCCCAGCTCCCAGCTAATGTGCCTGGGAAGGCAGTGGAATGTGACTTGGGCCACCACCCATGTGGGAGACCCACAGGGAGTTCCAGGCTCATGGCTGTTTTGTTGCCATTTGAAGGTGAACTAGTGAATGAAGGGTATCTCTCCCACCCCCCACCCCAGCAGAGACTAATGACTAATGCAGAGCTGGGTAAGCTGTTTAGGCCAAGACCTAAGAAAAAGTAGATGGGGTGGGAAGGAAGGATTTTCTAGATGGCAGGAATCAAAATAAGGGTGAGGAAGGCATCAGGCTTTTGTAGGGCTATAGGTTACCTATGGTGGTTCACAGAACCTAAGAGTGAGAGATGAGACAGGACCTGATGGGCTTTGCTGAGGAATTTGAATTTCAGAGGACAGTTAGGGAAGCCATTAAGGGGCTTGACAAGCTGGGAATGTAGCTGGAGGGAATGGTGGGGAACTGGCGGTGGAAAGATCCAGATTCCTTAGGAAGCTGCTATGGAAATGCAGGGGAGAAATGACTGCAACAGAATGACAGATACAGAAACAAAAGTGTGGATTTAAGTTAAGTGTGGCCCAAGGCACAGTGGGTAAATCTGCCACGTAGCATGGCATCCAATGTGAGTGCTGGTGCGAGTCCCAGCTGCTCCACTTCTGATCCAGCTCCCTGCTAATGCACCTGGGAAAGCTGCAGAAGATGGCCCAAGTGCTTGGGGCCCTGCCACCCACAGGGGACACTGGATGGAGTTTCTTGCCCTCGGTGTCAGCCTGGTCCAGCCCTGGCCTTTGTGGCAATTTGGGGAGTGAACCAGCAGGTGGAAGATCTCTGTGTCTCCCTCTCCGTCTGTAACTCTGCCTTTCAAATAAATAAGAAATAAAAATCTTCAGAGGGGGAACAAAAAAATGCCACCTGCAGGACTTGGTAGCTGAGAGAACTCGGGGAGGACAAACGGGTGTGTTGTCAGGAGCTGAGGGACTGACGCTGCCGCTGTTCACTGGGAAAGGCTCAGAGAGAGGGGGCTCCGAGAGCCCAGCAGGCAGGTGGGTGTGTGGGTCCCCAGTGCAGGAGAGTTCAGCTGGGCTGGAGTTAGAATTGGGGCTCACCAGCCCAGAGAGTTTGCTGAGCCAACGATGAGGCATGAATGGAATCATCCATAGATAGAGTCCACAGAGTAAGAAGAGACTGGCACCTAAAGGGCTCACCCAGGGCTGGGTCTCTGGTGCAGCAGCTCCCCCTTGGGACACTTGGGTACCATACTGAGGTACCTGGTTCAAGTCCTGACTATTGCACTTCCGATCCAGCTTCCTGCTAATGGGCATCCTAGGAGGCAGTAAACGACGGCTCAGTAATCAGGTTCTTGACACCCACAAGAGACCAAGATTGAGTTCCAGGCTCCGGGCTTCAGTTTAGCACTTGGGGAGTAAG